TTCATAGGATAGAGTCCAAAATGACTTAACAACTGACCAAAACAACAACAGAGGAAAGGTTAGGCTAAATGATTTGCAGTCTTGAATTGGAAATATCAATATAAATTCATAAGGTTAGTTTGAGTTATACATACGCATATATACCAGCCCCACTCCCACACACACACCCCTCACAACAAGTCCTGTCCAATGGAAAGACTTATAAACAGTGACCAACCGAGGTTGTGGTCCTGAAATACCACTTCTCTAAAAGAAACCAGGGCTTCTTGAAGAAATAGTTGACTCCATGTCTGCAGTAGAAAAATACACAAAATGTGTATGGAAAATCATTCATGCTAGGTGGAAAAGAAGCTATCACAGACTATGAGAGTCATGGCTAAAGGAGATAACTTTATGATGCTTCCACTGGCTAAGGATAAGAAAATCTCAGCTTCGTCATGATGATAATTGCAATAAATTGAATAACATCAAATATGTTTAAGTCCCTGCATTCCTAATGATATTAAAACAGAAAAAGAATTGCTCATCTTTGGGAAATAATAAGGAACTAATTCATTATCTTCAAAGTTTGTAAGTAAAGGCAAATAATCAAATATCTGTTCTGGATTTTCTATATGAATGGTTCTACTAGGTATCCAAATAATAGATAAGGGGAAATGTCTCTGTAAAATATTCCAATTAATAAATGAAAAAGAAATGAGAATAAGAATCTATTTCATAATTTTCAATGAATTAATGAATATTCAGTGCTGGGCTGGATGAATCACAAGCTGGAATCAAGATTGCCAGGAGAAATATCAATAACCTCAGATATGCAGATGATACCAACTTTATGGCAGAAAGCAAAGAGGAACTAAAGAACTTCTTGATGAAGGTGAAAGAGAAGAGTGAAAAACTGGTTTAAAACTCAACATTCAGAAAACTAAGATCATGGCATCTGGTCCCATCACTTCATGGCATATAGATGGGGAAACAACGGAAACAGTAAAAGACTTTATTTTCTTGGGCTCCAAAATCACTGCAGATGGTGACTGCAGCCATGAACTTAAAAGACACTTGTTCCTTGGAAGAAAAGCTATGCCAGACAGTGTATTAAAAAGCAGAGGCATTACTCTGTCGACAAAGGTCCGTCCAGTTAAAACTATGGTTTTTCCAGTAGTCTCATTGTACAGATATGAGGGTTGGACCATAAAGAAGGCTGAGTGCCAAAGAATTGATGCTTTTGAACTGTGGTGCTTTGAGAGTCCCTTGGACTGCAAGGAGAACAAAGGAAATCAACCCTGAATATTCATTGGAAGGACTGATGCAGAAGCTGAAGCTCTAATACTTTGGCCACCTGATGGGAAGAGCTGACTCATTGGAAAAGACTCTGATTTTGGGAAGAATGAAGGCAGGAGGAGAAGGGGACAACAGAGGACGAGATGGTTGGATGGCATCACTGACTCAATGCAGCTGAGTTTGAGCAAGCTCCGGGAAATGGTGAAGGACAGGGAAGCGTGCTGTAGCCCATGGGCTGGCAAAGAGTCAAACACGACTGAGCAACTGAATAACAATGGATATAGCCTCCTTGAATCAGAAAAGTGATGACTAGACATTATATGTCTCTTACAGTCTTGCCAGAGGAATGCAATCTCAGTCTGATCCAATCTCTGGATCCAGTTGCCAATTTGGAAAAAAAAAACCGGTGGGTGGAGGGCATGTAGAGTTGTATCATAAGTAATATATTGGCAGCGTCTAGACTGTGGGAAACTCTTTGGGTTGGAAGGTGCAAGTTTTTCTACAACTGTTTTATGATTCTGCAACTTCAAGGACTGCATCCCACTAGACTCCTCTGACCATGGGATTTTCCAGGCAAGAAAACTGGAATGGGTTGCCATTTCCTTCTCTAACAAATAAACAGTGGGGTGTGAAAGAGAATAGAAGGGAAACTTAAAAGAGACTTAAAAAATACAGTACATTTAAAAAATGGGGGAAACCAAACGGCTGTGCTAGGGATGCACATTTGGGTGATGGAACTGTGGGGGGAAAATAGCAGGGAGAGGATAACCATAGAAGTTAGGATAATGATTTCCTGAAGGAATGGGGCATATAAGGATTTATGCTCTGGGTGGCAGAGTTTTATTTCTTGACCTGGACGATAGTTACAAGCATGTTCACCTTATAATAATTTACTAAACCACATATTTGTAGTATATGGTTTTCAGGATCTGTGTTTTATTCTACATATACAGTGTCTCCTCTCTTTGAACACCTGAAGATCCTTATAGTCATTTTTAGAGACATATTTATATATCAGATTCTTGATGTTTGAGGAGTCTATACCTAGTTCTAAAGTTCAAAAATAACACTTGGGCATAAAATTTGTCCAGTTCCCTTACATGTAAAGGGACCATGGTAATAGTTATTCAATGAGTAGGCTGTGCGGCTATGATGATGAAAAAAACAACATAGCCACACTGCAATATACACACTGGGCAGCTGGCTAAACTCACTCATCCTGTGTGACTTTAGAGTTTACTCTTTTTATTTGTGCCTTAGCAAAATTACAGTGTTTCTTATAACCTTTGGAACTGCTAGAAAATCATTAGAAAAAAATTAAACAAAAAATGCCACCAATTACTATATAGTCCTGGGAGCTCTATTAAATTATCTTCTTTTCTCAGTTGCATACCAAACCCTATAGGGAATTCTGTTAAAAAGGACTTTGGCCTTACACGTGCCTGTCCAGTTTCCTAATACCATTAAAATTCCTAGAAGAAATAAAGGCAGTATGCTCTTTGACATCAGTCTTAGCAATGTGTTTCTAGATAAGACTCTTCAAGCAATGTGGACAAAAGATTACAAGCATGTTCACCTTATAATAATTTACTAAACCACATATTTGTAGTATATGGTTTTCAGGATCTGTGTTTTATTCTACATATACAGTGTCTCCTCTCTTTGAACACCTGAAGATCCTTATAGTCATTTTTAGAGACATATTTATATATCAGATTCTTGATGTTTGAGGAGTCTATACCTAGTTCTAAAGTTCAAAAATAACACTTGGGCATAAAATTTGTCCAGTTCCCTTACATGTAAAGGGACCATGGTAATAGTTATTCAATGAGTAGGCTGTGCGGCTATGATGATGAAAAGAACAACATAGCCACACTGCAATATACACACTGGGCAGCTGGCTAAACTCACTCATCCTGTGTGAGTTTAGAGTTTACTCTTTTTATTTGTGCCTTAGCAAAATTACAGTGTTTGTTATAACCTTTGGAACTTCTAGAAAATCATTAGAAAAAAATTAAACAAAAAATGCCACCAATTACTATATAGTCCTGGGAGCTCTATTAAACTATCTTCTTTTCTCAGTTGCATACCAAACCCTATAGGAAATTCTGTTAAAAAGGACTTTGGCCTTACACGTGCCTGTCCAGTTTCCTAATACCATTAAAATTCCTAGAAGAAATAAAGGCAGTATGCTCTTTGACATCAGTCTTAGCAATGTGTTTCTAGATAAGACTCTTCAAGCAACGTGGACAAAAGCAAGAATAAAGAAATGGGACTACACCACACTAAAAAGTTCTGCATGGCAAAGGAAACCATCATACTCTTTTATCCAAAGAGTATAAAAACATAAATTCAAAATACTGTACCCCTGAGTTCATAGCTGAATTTACAATTGCCAAGATACGGAAGCAACCTAAGTGCCTATCAATGGATGAATGTATAAAGGAGATGTGGTATATATATACTATGAAATACTACTGAGACATAAAAAAGATGAAATCTTGCCATTTGCAACAACATGGATGGAGGGTATTACGCTGAGAGAAATAAGCCAGAGAAAGACAAATACTGTATTATATCACATATGTGGAATTAAAAAAAAACAAAATAAAGGAATAAACCAAACCAAATAAAGATAAACACATAAATAAAAGGAACCACATGGGCTATATGAGTAGTGATTACCAGTGGGGAAGTAGGGTGGAGGGCGAGCAAAATGGGTAAAGGTGGCCAACTGCTTGGTGATGGATAGAAACTAAACTTCTGGTGGTGAGCACGCTGTAGTGTATACGGAAGTTGAAATATAATAATACTGTACACATGAAACTTACGTAGTGTCATAAACCAATGTTACCCCAATTTAATAAAAAAAGATTCTGGTTTACTAAAAGAAAAAAGGGAGTTTAAATACTAAAATCTAAAGGCCAATAAACAAAGTGGCAAACTCTCACCACAGTAGGAGAAGTAATGGTGCAAGGGCCTTGACATGGTTACGAGGAGGTAGAAAACGGGCAAGAGCTGAGACGTATTTTGAATATATCTCATTGGATATATTCTGAAAAGGCATGTCGATGACCTGAGACCTATGGAAACAGAGATGCTGGATTGCAGTTCTGGAACCCATATGTAATTATTGTTACATGACATATAACAGAGAAAAAATTCCAGACAAGATCCGTACCTGTGTGTACATGTGACTTACTATATTTGTCCTTTGATTTATAAGAAGGCAAACACAAGTCAAACAAGATCTATGTATTTGAAGTTTGGGTAGAAAGGACAAGGCAGAGAGGACAAGAAAACCATAAGGATAATGAACAGATGGGAAGAACAGACAACATTAGCTGTGAAGTGGTAAACCAAAAAGTGAAGAAGAAATAAGGACTCACAAGAAGGAGAAAAAAAAGACTGAGGAAAAAATAGCAGAAGAAATTGGAAATGACAGCTTATAAATGACAATTTAAAAACGAGTCTGGAGTAGTTTTACATTTACTTTCAAGTAGCTAGAACTCAGATATGATCACAGGTGTATATGTGGTTTGTAAACAGAATCTAACTCTAAGACCTATTTTAGAGAAAGTAACATACTATAGTTTTATGCATGCTTTGTTCCTGATTTGGGCTATATATCTTTAATATGGTATAGATGAGGTAATTATTACAAAAATAATTTATCCATTAAATTAATAATTTTACTTATATAATTTCAAAAAAGTTCTTACCAGGTGGTATACATCATCTAAACAAGTAAATTCATTAAAGCTGATATTAAGTTTTCGAAGTCCTGTTAACTTGGAAAGATCTCTCAATTTACTCAAGCTGTTTCCATGTAGATTCAGACTCTGAAGTAAAATAAAATGTAAATAAAAAGTAAGGCAAATTATATTCTAATTATAGCTATTAAATAACATTAAGAGAGAGCCAATGAGAAAAAAAATCTAATTTTAAAAGTACAGTCTGTTTTTATAATCTGATTTTACAAGATAAAGTTTATAATAGCAGTATTGGAACTGGTACTTGATTAATTTGATTTTCCACTTGCTCTAAGTTTACTAATAATTGGTGTGAAATTCTTTTTAGAAGATGATTAAATATTTTGTTGTTACATTCATTAGGGCAGTTCTATTTCTCACGCTAGCTGGTAAACAATGTAGGCCCTAAAGATTTTGGGTATTGGCTAGGTTGCCTCACAGGAGAGAGGATGGCGAGGATATACCCTGATTACAGGAAACCAAATGAGGGCCCAGGACTAAGGAAGAAAGGCTGAGGGTGTTAAAGTGGGAGGATACAACATCAAAGAAGATACAACATCAAAGAAGGAGTTGAGAGATGTCTAAGTCTCTGCATCACAAATTGACCCAGATTTTCCCTGCCCATTTGATCCTGGACTATATGAAAATGAATGTTACTATATTTTTATATTTAGGGGAGACTCTGATATCTGTATGGGCTTCCCAGGTGGCACTAGTGGTAAAGAACCCACCTGCTAATGCAGGAGACATAAGAGACGTGGGCTTGATCCCTGGGTAGGGAAGATCCAGTGGAGGAGGGCATGGCAACCCAATCCAGTATTGCCTGGAGAATTCCTTGGACGGAGTAGCCTGGCAAAGAGTCCTAATGTGGCTATAACCTCTCATTCTTTCAGTCAGTCTTATGTATCTTTATATTCCAACCTACACCTATATTCCCACCATGACACACCCTAGATAAGACACTAGGTCTTTCAAAACCATGTGCTTACAGATAAAGTATTCCTCGGCATGGAAGACAAAAACAATGAAATCTTCCATATCCTTCAGAAATTCACACAAACCCACCTCTTTCTGTGGACCTCTCTCAGCGGATCTAAATGTCTTGTATTTGTATATATATCTGTCTTCTTCACTAAAATAATATCTTTGGAGCAGGGAAGAAAACTTATTCATTGAACACCTAGTACTTGCTTCAATGGTTAAAATATAGCAAATTCTCAGTAAATGCTAGATGAATAAATCAGTGCAAAAGCCAGACTTATAACTGACAACTCTAATTTTTAGTATTTAATTGTGCTGTAAGAAATTATAAAATTATATTACTCTGGGCTTTTCATTTATATATATTTTATTTATTTTTATGGATGTCCTCATAAAACTCAATCTAGTGGGGATAACTGAAAAGAAAATAAGACATATGTACCTTCAATTTCTCTTACAGTAATGGCACAAATAAAGGAGAATAAAGGGTGTGATGTCTAAATAGCCTTCTAATATCTAGAATTCTTACTGGAAACTGTAGAAAATTTGCTGGCTTTTAAGAAATATAGACAAATTTAAGATGAATTCTTAAATTCTTATGTTATGGGTATTGACGAAATTAATAGTCAGGTGGAGGTCACACTGGCCAAGATATTCCAAAGTCTTAAACTCTTCTCCTTTCTGCTTCTTATCTTCCAAACCAAAGATAATTAAAAAAAGACCTACTTTCTGGTGCTATTTTTTTACTTTTATTTAATCTCTTTAAATCTATAGGATACATGTTTTAGAAGCTCAGTCCTATCAGAACACTGATTTATTAAACCTTTTCTATTGAGGCTTTATTATAAACAATGCATTAATCAAATATGAAATCTTGACATTATAGTTCAGAAACAATTCTCCATACTGTCAGCTGGAAGATTGTTCCTGTATTAAGTATAGTGCATATTTATGATACAGATGGTGATATTGCTATCATGCTATAAAATTTTCCTTCATCTCTAAAAACAATTCTTAATCTAGACTTGAAGATTCTAGATTCTAGATTAAGTCTAGACTTAATCTAGACTTAATCAAGACTTGAAGATTTGGTGGATGATGCTAATACAGTTTTACCAAAGCAATTTCATAAATTATCTTAAAAAGATGTTTTGAATATTTTTAGAAGCAGACTGAAAACTGTTGACCTCATTTATTATTTTAAAATATGTTTTGCATTCTCTTTCTGCGTCACATAATCATTTGGAAAAAACTGTCATCATAAACATTGGATTTTAAAATGTCAAAACGGAGCCAAGTAATTGACTTTCAAGATAAAAATAATTTCTGAGTTTTTATCTGTACCTCAGTTTTCAGTAAATGCATAGAAAGATATGTCAAATAAGAATACCTTGTCTTAAGTATTGTTATCACTTATCAATTAATATCAATTTGTTTACTACTTCTGTAGGTTCAAGCAGACAACTCACTTTCTCTGTAAGAACTGCTCAGACACTCTGTTTTAGAACAAATATCCAATGAGTATCTCATATGTGCTAGGTATTGTGCTAGATAATGGCAAAGTTAATGCTGGTCCACACAGTATTTATGAGTAAATTATAAAAAGGCATCTTAACCTCAAGACACCTTTATTTCCAGCTTTTAGAAAATTGTCACAATAGACTGATTTTGTTAGTAAAAGAAATTGCACCACCAGTCATCAGAAAGTTGTTGTAGTAAATATACTACTGTATATTTAAAAGTTGCCCCTTAGATGTGGCCCTTCTGTGCAATGCACACTGCACAGTCTTATATTGTTACCCTCATGCTGGGAATATAAATGACTAAGAACAGCCATAGCCTCTGTCCCTGTGGAATTTATAGTTTAGGAAGAACACAGAACACATGACAAAGGAATCTTACTTAGATTCTTAGTTAGACCTAGAGATAAGAGAAGGACTTAATGCTTAAGTATAGATCTAAAATATGTGTAGGAGCTAAATAGGAGAAAGAAGTTCACGTGAGAACATTCTGTGTAGATGAAGTAGCTAGCGTGGAGACTCTGTGTGGTGGCAAAAGGTACATTTAGGAAACAAAAAGGACATATATGTGGACTTTAGAAAGATGGTAACGATAACCCTATATGCAAAACAGAAAAAGAGACTCAGATGTATAAAACAGACTTGTGGACTCTGGGAGAAGGTGAGGGTGGGATGTTTCAAGAGAACAGCATTGAAACATGTATATTATCTAGGGTGAAACAGATCACCAGCCCAGGTTGGGTGCATGAGACAAGTGCTCGGGCCTGGTGCACTGGGAAGACCCAGAGGGATCGGGTGGAGAGGGAGGTGGGAGGGGGGACCGGGATGGGGAATACATGTAAATCCATGGCTAATTCATTTCAATGTATGACAAAAACTACTGTAATGATGTAAAGTAATTAGCCTCCAACTAATAAAAATAAATGGAAAAAAAAATCTAATATTGAGTAAAAAATAAAAATAAAAAAAAACAAAAACGAAAACAAACAAACAAAAAAGAGGCTGACTATAGATTGCTACAGGGAGGGTAATATGAGAAGAGTCTGGAAAGACAGGCCTCGGACCAGGTCATATAAAACCTTACAGGCCATATTAAGGACTTTGGTTTTATTTTGAAAACAATGAAAGGCATTTGCACATTTCATATAGGAGTGGTGAGGGATGACAAATCAGATTTGCGCTGGAAAAGACTACTTTGGCTTCAGTATGGAGAATGGGTTGTGGCCTTGAAGCGGAAGTAGGACAAAACCTCTGTTGCACAGCTCTAGTAGGCATGCATCCCCACCCCAACACACACAGACACGCACACCCCTTGTACTGAGTTATACTTAGCTATATACTGAACAGCATCCAAAGAGCACGTTAATGGAGTATTATGTGCATGGAGCCTCCTAAAATTGTGTAGTAGCCCCATGGAAGTATCTAGGTTGGCCATAGAGTCTGGATAGAATGGTAGCAGATTTGAAATGGACAGGCTGAGTCAAGATATAGAAGGAAGCTTAACATCTCAATAGAATTTCCTTGTAATACTCACCACAATATGACCATAAACACTAGTCTTGGCAAGGGAAAGTATCGTTTTATCATCCAAACTCATAAGTTTTGGTCTGGGCTTGATCCTAGGATCCATTTTTATAACTTCATCATCAAATTTCAAATCCTGGGACAATACTGATCCTTCTGAATTTTTTTTGCTTTCTTCTAGAATAATATTGTTGAATGAAGAAAATAAAGAGTGAGCCTTGACCTAAAAAATTTATTAAAAACATTGAAAATTTGGTTGCTGTATTTATCATTTTGAAAAATAGGCTATGTAGGAAAGATGAATTAAAACTTTTTCCGTTATATAGTAATATCTATGATGATCTGTATCACATTAGGAAATCTATGAGAATAGATTAAAATTGTGGACTAAGAATGGGTGTGTTCATCCCTTCCTCCTGAAAATTCCTTAAAACTGGAAAAAGACATTTTAAAAATATTTTATCACAGTGGAGAGGGCACCAACAAAAGACTAAAAGTTGTGAGATATAAATTAGAAGAGACTGAACTGACAAATAGAAGCAGAAATGTAACCTGCAGCCAAAATATATGCAGGAGATAACCGCTTCAAAGAGAAGATTCCAAGAAACTTGGTGTTTAGAGTGAACAAGTAAAGTAGCAGGAGGAAGCTCTAGGTAATTATTAGGCAATTAAGTTATCATAAGAATTGTGGATGACTGGGAAAAAACAACATGAACAACAGAAATGGCTCTACAAAAAACCAAAATGGTCCATAAGAGAATTCTTTTTAAAATCTAGGAGAACAAAACATCCATAAAAGAATAGACGGCTATAGAAAAAATAGGGTAAATGCTTCAAAGTCACCATAAAAACAATTAGTGAAGTACGAAATATTCAATAAATGTCCTGAGAAACCAAATGGATACTACAGCAAATCAAATTAACAGTGTGGAAGCTAATATAGAGAGCATCTTTCACAACAAAGAATTTAAAGATGGAAATGTAAAATACAGAGAAAAAAAATTAAAATACATTGGCCGGGGGAACAGTTCAGAATGTTCAATGTTTACCAAATAGGAGTTCAAGAGGGCTTAACAGAAAATAGAAGAGAAGAAATGATAAAGGAATTAAAAGGAAACTTCCCAGAGTTAAAGGAAACATTTGATCTTCAGATTAAAACAGCTCATAAAGGGGCAAGCAGGATGATGGAGCTCTTGTCTTTGCTGACATCACTTTGTTGTGAAGTCAGTCACAACCGCAGGGACTTGGCCTCTCCACTTCTTGTTTTTTCAGTTATTTTGTTTGCTGTTTGCTTGGGTTTCTATGTCTTTTGTTGAAAGTATATTTGACTGATAGAATCCTCTTCATAACAACATAAAATATAAATGCCCAGAACTATAGAAGAAATATAAGAAGAAACGTTTAAGACCCATATAGAGGAAAATATGGGAGAGGACTTGAGTAAATGGAATAATGTACCATGTTCCTGGATGCAAGGCCCAACACTACAAAGAAGTCAGTTCACCCCAAAATAAATTTAAATTCAATACACTTACAATCAAATCCTAGTAGGACATTTAAATAGAACTTAACAAGCTGTTTAAAAATTTAATTTGGAAATGAAAACATTCAAGAATATGTGCGTGCATGCTAAGTCGCTTCAGTCATGTTCGACTCTGCAACCCAATGGACCATAGCCCGCCAGGCTCCTCTGTCCATGGGATTCTCCAGGCAGGAATACTGGAGTGGGTTTCCGTGCCCTCCTCATGTTCAAGAATAGCCAAGAAATTTTTAAAAAAATAAGTGGAAGAGAATTTGCCTTATCACATATCCAAACATATCATCTGGTTGTAATAAGCAAAACAAGATGGTAGGGGCCCAAGATTAGACCAATAGATCAATGGAACAGAATATAAGGATCTATATATATATATATTTAATAATAAATATAATATTTCAAAATATAGTAAAAAAGATTGAAAGCAAACCCACAAAGCTATTAACAGTGGATGCCTTAATGAAAGAGAGTGGGATAGGGCTGAGGTGAAAGCAGATTTTCATGTGTATTCTATATTCTCCAATACAGTTTTATTCTTTTCTAGTGAGACTACAGCTATATACTACTCATGTAATATATTTCCAAAATAAAAAATTTAGATGTAATAATTATTTTCTTTGAAAATTAAATCCCTCACAGAATAGTTATTTTACATTTATATATAGGCATATCTTGTTTTGTTGCATTTTGCTTTATTGGATTTCTAACAAATTGAAGGCATCAAGCAAGTCTATTGGTGCTATTTTCCAACAGCATTTGCTCACTTCATGTCTCTGTCACATTTGGTAATCCTCATGATATTTCAAACATTTTCACTAAGATTATATTTGTTATGGTGATCTGTGATGTTACTATTGTAATGGTTTTGGGTTGCCACAAACCACGCTCATATAAGACAGTGAACTGTGTTTGGACTACTCCATTGACCAGCCATTTCCCTGCCTCTCTCCCTCTCTTTGGGCCTCCCTTTTACCCAAATCTTAAAATTTAGGCAATTAATAACCTTAGAATGGATTCTCACTGTTCAAGTGAAAGGAAAAGTCACATACCTCTCACTTTAAATCAAAAGCTAGAATGACTAAGTTTAGTGAGGAAGGCATGTTGAACACTGAGACAGCCTGAAAGCTAGGCCTTTTGCTCCAAACAGTCAAGTTTTGAATGCAAAGGAGAAGTTTTGAAGAAAATTAAAAGTACTACTCCAGTGAACATATGAATGTAAAAAAAGTGAAGCAGTCTTATTACTGATATGGAAAATGATTTTGTGCTCTGGATGGAAGATCAAATCAGTCACAATATTCCCTTAAGTCAAAGCCTAATCCACAGAAAAGTCCTAACTCTCTTCAATTCTATGAAGGCTGAGAGAGGTGAGAAAGTTGCAGAAGAAAAGTCTGAAGCTAGCTGAGCCTGGTTCATGAAGTTTAAGGAAAGAAGAGATCTCCATAACATAGAAGTGCAAAGTGAAGCAGCAAGTGCTGATGTAGAAGCTGCAGCAAGATATCCAGAATATCTAGCTAAGATCACTAATAAAGGTAACTACACTAATACACAGATTTTCAATATAGATGAAACAGCACTCTATTAGAAGAAAACGCCATCTAGGATTTTCATAGCACTGAAGTCAGTGCTCAGCTTCAGAGAGTCAAAGGTCAAGCTGTCTCTCTTGTTAAGGGCTCTTTTAGTTGAAGCTAATGCTCATCTACCATTCTGGACACCCTACAGCACTTAAGAACTATGCTAAATCTACCCTACCCGTGATCTATAAATGGGACCAAAAAAGCCTGGATGACAGCACATTTGTTTACAACATGGTTTGCTGAATATTTTAAGACCCCTGTCTAGACATACTGCTCAGAAAAAAAAAAAAAAAGAATTTCTTTTAAAATACTACTGCCTACTGACAATGAACCTGGTTACCCAAGAGCTCTGGTGGAGATGTGCAATGAGATTTACGTTGCTTTCATGCTTACTAACATAACATTCCTTCTGCAGCCCATGGATCAAGGACTAATTTCTACTTTCAAGTCTTATTATATAAGAAATACATTTCATAAGGCTATAGTTGCCAGTTTTTCATTCCGATCCCAAAGAAGGGCAGTGCCAAAGAATGTCCAAACTACTGCACAACTGCACTCATTTCACATGTTAGCAAAGTAATGCTCAAAATTCTCCAAGCTAGGCTTCAACAGTACGTGAACCGAGAACTTCCAGATGTTTAAATGTGCTTAGAAAAGGCAGAGGAACCAGAGATCAAATTCCCAATATCCACTGGATCATAGAAAAAGCAAGAGGATTCCAGAAAAACGTCTACTTCTGCTTTATTGACTGGGCTAAAAACTTTGACTGTGTGGGTCACAACAAACTGTGGAAAATTCTTCAAGAGATGGGAATTTCAGGCCACCTGACCTGCCTCCTGCGAAACCTGTATGCAGGTCAAGAAGCAAAGGTTAGAACCAGGCACAGAACAAACTGGTTTCAAACTGAGCAAGGAGTACGTCAAGGTTATATATTGTCACCCTGCTTATTTAACTTATATGCAGAGTGCATCATGAGAAACGCCAGGCTGGATGAAGCACAAGCTGGAATCAAGATTGCCAGGAGAAATATTAATAACCTCAGATANTTCCTGAGGTATTTGAGCAAAGGAAATTGAAAACTTTCTGGAAAGGATTTACCATTCTATATGTCTTTAAGAACATTCATGATTCATGGAAAGAGTTCAAATATCAACATTAATAGGAATATGAAAGAAGTTAAGACTTCCCTGGTGGCTCAGATGGTAAAGCAACTGCCTACAGTGTGGGAGACCCAGATTGATCCCTGGGTCAGGAAGATCCCCTGGAAAAGGAAATAGCAATCCACTCCAGTACTCTTGCCTGGAAAATCCCATGGACAGAGAAGCCTGGTAGGCTACAGTCCATGGGGTTGCAAAGAGTCGGACACAACTGAGCAACTTCACTTTCTTTCTCTCAAGACTTCAGTGGAGGAAGCATTTGCAGATATAGTTTAGAAACAGCAAGAGAACTAGACATAGAGCCCAAAGATGTGACTGAAATCCTACAATCTCATGATAAAACCTTACAGATGAGGAGTTTCTTCTTACAGATGAGCAAAGAAAATGGTTTACACTCCTGGTGAAGATGCTATGAAGATTATTGAAGTGACAACAAAAAGATTTAGAATGCTTCATAAACCTAGTTGATAAAGCAGTCGAATTCTGAAAAAAGTTCTGTGGGTAAAATGCTATCAAACAGCACTGCAATGCTACAGATAGGTCATTCATGAAAGGAAAAGACAACAGATGCAGCAAACTTCATTGTTACCTTATTTTAAGAAATTGTCACAGCCACCAGTTATCTTCAGCAACTACCACCTAAGTCAGCAGCCATCAACATGCAGGTAAGATCCTCTACCAGCAAAAAGGCTATGAACTCACTGAGCTCAGATGATGAGTCACATTTTTTAGCAATAAAGTCTACTTTTTTTATTAAGGTATGTATATTTTCTAGACATTTCATACTTAATAGACTACAGTAAGTATAAAGGTAAGTTTTATCAGTTCAGCTTAGTTCAGTCGCCCAGTCGGCATATGCACTGGGAAACCAAAAATTAGTGTGACCAACTATTGCAATATTCACTTTATTGCAGGGTCTGAAACTGAACCCACAATATTTCTGAGGTATGCCTGTACATATAATATAGCATAAACTTGACATAACATTATTAGGCTTCAAATTACTGTTCTGTTCTCATTTAAGGAATTCCAGTTTTAAAAATACATTCATACCACTGTAATATACTCAAATTCCACAATGTATTCAGGCAAAACAAGGTCATGATCAAAGACAAACCACTTGCACTGCCGAACACTGCAATCACAGTTTCTTTGTCCCATGATAGAATCTAGGATAAAATAATAAAGACAAGCAAAATAAATAAACACTCTTCAAAGTGAAACATAACATACGCTTTTCACCCTTACACAGACTAATAAACAACAAACTCAGTACATTCCACAGAGAAGGCAATGGCAACCCACTCCAGTACTCTTGTCTCGAAAATCCCAGGGACAGCGGAGCCTGGTGGGCTGCCGTCTATGGAGTCGCACAGAGTCGGACACGACTGAAGCGACTTAGCAGCAGCAGCAGTATGTTCCAAATAATATGTTATTGAGGTTTTTTTCTATCTTCCCACCACCTTTGATAATTTCTTAATTCTATCAAAACTAGTCACCCTTTGACTAAACAGACTAGTAGGGTTCAGTTTTATTCATATCCTTTTTTTTTTTCCATTTATCCTTTTCTTTTTCATACTTTTTCACTTTTCTAATCAGAATTTGACCATATAGCTTTTGATAAATATATTACTCTAAAGATATTACTTTGTTGTTAAAAGTTGGGTGGGTTCTATCTTTTGAAATACATACAATATATTATACATATATATGTGTGTATAAAATATAAAAGTAACTTTTACAAAATAAAATATATATGCACAGAAATATATAACTGTCATTGAAGTAGGGAAGAGAAATACAGAAGCTCATTAGTGACTAGGAACAGGGTTTTATAGAGAAGTTTATAAGCTTTGTTAGATAGAGGTTAAACTATAAGCATCTTTATTAAATGAAAATATTCTGTAGTCAGAAAGATGAAAAAAGATTTATTTCATGGCAGACATACTTAGTAAATATTTTCGAGGAATGAACACTGAATTAATCATTGGGTAGTTGGCTTGACTGATGGAGTCCTGATCACAAGCCTGAACACTCTGGCCAAGGAAAACCTTTGTAATCAGGAGGATGCCTAGTATGAAAAAACAAAACATTTTAACACAAATTCATCTTAATAATTTTCCAATTTTACCTTCCTTACTGCCCCCAGACTTGATTGTATATTCTGTAAAGGTAGGGATCCTAGATATCCGTATAGCACATAGCACACTGCTTGATCCAAAATAGAGGAGCTCAATAAATATTTGTTGAATAAATAAAATGGTTATAAAAGAGGATTCCTGTGATTATATCAAGCAAAGCTTTACAGACAAGAAAGAAGGAAATAAGGCAATATTTAACAATATTTTCACGAAGTAATTTAAGAAATTTGTTGTTCTTGTTAACTGGGTAAAAATTCATCTCTGTATCATCAGTATCTAGCACATAGCACTCAGTATGTCTACTGAATGGTGAACATTTCTTTTCCCTTAAGTTATTAAGGAAACTTGAAATTCACTAACTTCTAGGAATCTCTAGGAGTCACTGAATCCTATGAAGTAACTTGTAATTACTATGCATAAGGTATTCACGTAACTTCTTAAAACTACGTACGAGCTATGAAATGTAAATTGGGAGAACCTAATTGATTTGTCCCTTGAACTGCAAGATCAAACCAGTCAGTCCTAAAGGAAATCAACTTTGAATACTCATTGGTAGTACTGATGCTGAAAAGCTGAAGCTCCAATACTTTGGCCACTTGATGTGAAGAGCCAACTCACTGGAAATAAGACCCTGAGACTGGGAAAAGTTCTTTTGCCAATTTTAGATTTATAACCAGATTTTCTTACCATCTTATATTTTGATAATTAAGGACAAGGCTTGACTTCCCAAGTGCTTTATATGATGATTATTACATAAATGGACAGAGTTCTCTTTTCTTTTTCCAGTGAATTTGGGGTTTGTATGATGAGTGTGTGTAACATATACATATTTTTAGGACACATCTTAATGAACAAAAGCAGACTGTGAAAACTGTTTATTTCATATAAGAGAGATTAAATATGAGTAACAAATGAATCTCATCCTATTGATGTTGCTGATAATAATCACTCAGTAAATATTCGTTGACAGACTGACTAAAATAGCAGATCAGAAAGTCATGTATTACCTCACTGGTAAATCCTAAATAAAAGGGGTTTCAGAAACTTCCCAGGTTGATAAAACCAAGCACCAAAAATGTTATGAAAGTAATTAATGAATTGGAAGACTTAGAGCTTAAAAATTCAGAAACTTTGCATATTTATAATACCATGCCTGAAGAGCTCATGCTCAAGAGAGTTTTTCTTCTCATCCTTGTACTTCTGCTGTAGTAATTCAATTCTGGGACACTCACATATACTTAGGCTATTAGCAAGAATGACAGCTTCTTTTCTGAGAGGCAGCTATAAGGAAAAAGCAAAGTCTGAGAATTTTTATAAGACTGACAATACTTCAACTTTACTACAGATGGTTTATCATTTTATGTTCATGTGTCTGGGCAAGGAACCTTCAGGTCACTCACTGCAAAGAAGTAGATAATCTTCAGGGACAACTTCATTCCATAAAACCATTCATGTAATGTATTTTAAATGCATATGCAAATAGATCTATGAAATATAATATTCGGTGGATATTACACTGAAGATTCTTATTTAAATAAACAGTCTAATAACTGGTCTAATAGTCTACATTATTTTCCAGATACATCTGATTGTACTAATGTTGGAAATTTTAGCTTGCATTGTGACTAGAGTTATTTCTTTAAAAGTATTTTATCAGGAATATTCATATTACTTGCTGTGAAAGCAGCTCTTAAAAAAAAGAAACAAAAATGTGTTTTTATCAGCTAAAAACAACTAGAACTAAGAGAGATTATATAATCTATCTAAGACTGAAGCAGAAATTGCAAAGTCATGATTTAGACTCAGGTCTGCTCCTCCTTGTCACTATCTCGAAATTTTGAAATTACTGGGTTGGCCAAAGAGTTTGTTAGGGTTTTTCTATGCCATCCTTATTTTATTGTGGTAAAAAAATAAGGTAAAAGCTACCATTTTAAAGTGTACAATTCATTGGCATTAGTACACCCACAATGTTGTACAACTATCACCACTACCTATTTCTAGAATTTCATTCCAAACTAAAGCTGTATACTCATTAAACAATAACTCTCCATCCCTCTATCCTCCCCAACTCCTGGAAATGTCTACTGTCTCTACCAATTTTTCTATTTTAGATATTTTATGTAAGCAGGATCAGACAATATTTGTCCCATAGTGTCTTGTTTCTTTTACTTAATATAATGTAATATATATAACATTATATTTGCAAGGTTAATCCATGCTATAGCATGTATCAGAATTTCATTTCTTATGACTGAATAATATTCTATTGTATGCATATACCACATTTTATTTATCCATGCATCCATTAATGGACATTTGAGTTCTTTCTACTTTTTGGCTATTGTGACTAATGGTGCTATGAACAAGTATCGAAGAACTTTATCATGTATATCTTACTATATCCTAACCACTCTGTGAAGGAGATACTATTATTACCCTCATTTCCCAGAATGGATTTCAAATGGGCGTAGAGAGGTGAAGTCACCCAGCTGGTGAGTAGGAAAGCCAGGATTCAAATGCAGCAATATTTTCAGGTTATGTGTGCCGTGATGAGAAAAGGATTAGGAAACACTGCTCTGTACTACAGCTGTCTCATCAAGTGGGTGGAGGACTGAGAAAGGTTGATTGGATGTTTTGGAGCTCATAAGTGATCAAAGATAAAGCAGTATCAGTATCAAGGTGGGGAAGATGAAGTAGAGAACAAAGAAATGGTGGTAGTAAAAGTAAAGAGAAAAACAGAATGACAGAAAGCACAGCAGTGTCAAGTGAATGAATTTTTTCAAGATGGAGAAGACCTTGGAGCATTTAAAACAGATTAAAGAAGTGGATTTCAAGATCATTCACAAAAGGATCACAATATAAAATGTAAAATGCCTAGGAAGATTAAATAGACAATCATAAAGGTAAAATAATTCATGATTCAACCAGCTGTAGATTGAAAATACTTGGGAAAAAAAAAGAATTCTGGAAAGTTCCAAAAAGCAAAACTTGAATTTGCCCTGCTTCCACAACTATTTACACAGAATTTATATTGTATCTATAATTCTTTACATAACATTTACATTATATTAGGTATTATATTTAAAGTATACAGAAGGAAGTACACAGGCTATATGCCAACAGAATGCCATTTCATATAAGGGACTTGAGCATCCTTGGATTTCAGTATTTGTGGGAGGTCCTGGAACCAATCCCTCTTGAGTACTGAGGGTCTGTACTTTTCAGGATAGCACTAACTTTTTTGTGAAACAGTAGAAGTTTGCTATAAATGAAAGGATTGAGAATCAAACTATGCTTAATCAGTGCCAGAGCTTTATTCATTAGGAAGAAAGCATTATTTTGAATAACATTTTATGCTACCTTGCTTGTTTCGCTGTCTTTGAATCCTTTTTCAAGTATTTGTAGCAGATGCTTTTTCTTCACTGTAATTTCAGGATCAAAAACATAAAAAAGGCATTCCAGCATCTTTCGATAGCTCCTTAAGAATAATTAAGACAAAAAAAGTTTTAGAATTGATTTCAAAAAAGCCTAGCCACGGGTAGGATGAGCACATGCCCTAGCCAGGATATTTCCCATTTACGCTGGATGTTCCAGTGTCATTCTTAAATTTCCACTCCTCCTCAGTCTCAAAAAGAGCTTCAGTGTGGATAAACCATGAGGTCATCCTAGTCAGGAAGATGCATTAAAGGAACTACTTACTAACAAGGATATTTTCAATACTGTAAACCTTTAACCAGAAAGACTTTTTTTGTTGTTGTTACAAAATAAAAGCAGGCTGTTGTAAAAATGTTTCTTATGGAAGTCAGCTTCTTACTCTGAATCATGCATATTCTCATTGTCCAAAAACTTTTGGAATTTCTCTTCAAATTTTAGTCTCAGAATACGGTTGTTAACCTTGATGACACGTTTTACTTTCACTCCTGTAATACCATATGTTCTGAAGTCCCACGTACAAAAACGTGATAGAATTAATTCATAGCAGGAATTAAACCTATATGGAAATACAAAATATATACAGAGAAAATAACAGACTTTCCTTAAAATGTTAAGAACATAAAGTTACATATGAAAAAAGTAATAGCCCATATTTTGTTTCTGCTAAAGATACATGCTGTTTTGTTCTTCTTATGTAATCAATAAAAGAACTGCTACACTCTGAAAGTGAAAGTGTTACTCGCTCAGTCCTGTCAGACTTTGAGACCCCATGGATTGTAGCCCGCCAGCCTCTGTCCATGGAATTCTCCAGGCAAGAATACTGGATTGGGTTGCCATTCCCTTCTCCAGCACTGCCATTCCCAACCCAGGGATCGAACCTGGTTTTCCTGTACTGCGTGAATTCTTTACCATCTGATTCACCAGGGAAAAATAATAGCTCTTTTATTAATAATAATATATTTGTTCTGACTAAAAGATATGGAGCAATCCTCCAATATTGTAATAGTTTCTTTTGGGGGCGTCAGTGAAACTACACGTTTCTGGCTTGCATCTTACTGGCTACTCTTTCATGATTTTATTTGCAGCTTCTTTTTCCTCTGACAGACTTCTAAATGTTGGACTGCCCCAGGAATCAGTCTCTGGCTCCCCTCTTGTCTCCATAAACCCTATTAATAGGTGATTTCACTTGGCCCTTTGGCAATATATATTTTAAATATATATGTATATATATATACACACACACACACACACACATATATACCTATATTTATTATACCAGTAAATTCCAACATTTTATTTTCAGGCTTTACCTTTACCCCACTTAACTGAATATACCCATACTTGAACATCTAACTACTTGCTTGCTATGTTCACTGGAACATGTAACAGTCCTCTCAAATTTAACTCACATTAACACACCTGCCTTTAAACCTGCACCTCCTGTTTTCCACCTCAGTGTACGGCACCACCATCTAACTAGTGGCTTAGGTTAAAATCCCAGGAATACATCATGCCTCCACTCTTTCCTACCAATATCCAACTCTTCCGCAAGTCTGTTTGGCTCTATATCTAAAATACATCCTGAATATGACTCTATTTAATCACCACTGCTATTATCCTACTTAAAATCACCATCACCTCTCAGTTGGACTATTGCCATAGCTTCATAACTAGTGATACAGAAGTGAAAGAGGCAGGATCCCTGCTCTCCTTGACCCTATAATTCCAAGGGAGTTGGACAACAAAATAAACAGGACATAATAAAATAAAATATATAAACTGACAAGTGCTCCGAATAAAGAAAGGTTTGGGGTAAGGAATGGAGCATGGGATACTTAAGAGAGGTCTTGGGTAGAACCTTTGGAGAAGATATTTGAGCTAAGAATTGAAGTAGCGGCCTGCTATGTGAAGATCTCAGAAAAAGTAACTAAGGACTCATGTGCTCTCTGCTGCCCTCACCTGATCGTGCTCAAAGTAATTTTGGCCCTGTCTTACAGTAGCACAGAATTTAGATTAATTTGAAATTTAAGATGAGGAGGATCCACTGTATGGTGACTCCAGTGGTAAAAAATCTGCCTTCCAATGCAGGAGATGCAGGTTTGATCCCTGGGTCAGGAAGATATCCTGGAGTAGGAAATGGCAGCCCACTCCAGTATTCTTGCCTGGAAAATTCCATGGACACAGGGGCTTGGTGGGCTACAGTGCATGAGATCACAGAGCCAGATACGACTGAATGAGCATGCACGTAACAGTATGGTGACAGATGGAAGCTAAATTTTTGGTGGTGAGCACACTATAATGTATACAAAAGTAGAAGTATACTGTTGTACACATGAAACAAGTAATGTTATAAACCAATGTTACTTTAATGAAAAAGAAGTAAAAAAAAAGAAAAAACAAAAAATTTTTTTCAAAGAGAAACAAAGAAAGACAAATCTCAACATCTGGAACACTGGAACACTGGCACCAATGGTGCACACTCCCAGAAAGATCCATCTGATGGAGCAGATGAAAGCCATCACTGCCTTTTCCCACACATTGTGGAATGGACATTGACAGCGGGAATTGTTGTAGGAAAGAGCCATTCTGACTCCATGATGGATCTCTTTCTTTGACTTTAACCTTTGTTTTTTATTGCTTGCATGTTCGACAAATGGACAGTTACTCGCTTCTAGTCTGGTCTCCCAGGAATGCAAGAACCAGAAATGGCACAGGAAGCTCTAAGTAGTGTGAGCCTTTCATAGAGCTTTTCTTTGTCTGGAAATTAAGCAGTTATCTCTTCTTTATATGAAATTCCTAGAGTCTTGGAGATAGAGAACCCTAGTACTAAGAAGACAAGGGCTCTGCTATCTGGGGTCACAGAAGTAAAGCAATTCATTCAATCACCTGGCCACACTGTGTGCATGGGGAAACATTATTCAGAGGCTGGAATACTGCTGGAGGAGGGAGAACAGACCTATGCCGACAGAAAATTAATGAGACTTACAATATCATCAATACCTCATGGAGGATAGTAACTTCTCACAGCTGAATATATGCTACCTGCACTGAGGAGCCGGAGAAAGCAATGGCACCCCGCTCCAGTACTCTTGCCTGGAAAATCCCGTGGACGGAGGAGCCTGGTGGGCTGCAGTCCATGGGGTCACTAAGAGTCGGACACACCTGAGCGACTTCACTTTCACTTTTCACTTTCATGCATTGGAGAAGGAAATGGCAACCCACTCCTGTGTTCTTGCCTGGAGAATCCCAGGGATGGGGAAGCCTGGTGGGCTGCCATCTATGGGGTTGCATAGTCAGACACAACTGAAGTGACTTAGCAGCAGCAGCACCGAGGAGCATGTCATCACTGCTTTGAGGTATCCGCATTTTAGTCTGAACCTGAAATCCTGAAATAAAGACTCTCTAGGGCTTTGTATAAAATAATATTGAAATCTGCTACACCTTTCCTGCAAAGAGTCCAGTAGATTTAAGGGCAAAATTCAAACTACCCAGCCTAGCCTGTAAGACCGTTAATGATCAGGCCCTTGTCATGTAAAACTACTGAGCTCTCTAGATGTATTATACTACTTACACACCCTTTCACATGCTGTGTTGTTGCCTCTGCCTGCAAAGTCCTTCCTCTAATTCTTTGTATAGTTAACATCTATCTGTCCTTCAAAATTCAGATCAAAGCATCCCCCTCAAGTGCCCCACTTACCACTAGCACCTAGTATAGAATGTGATTTATGATAGAAGCTTAATGGATGACTGCTGAGCAAGTGAACAAAATAGAAAAGACTCAAAGACTAAAAAGATACGTCTCTATATTCACTGAGTTTATAAACCAACAAAGTGAAAAAGTAATAGCTCAAGTATAAGCAAAATTATAGAGTATAAGAGAGATACAACTCAGTGCTACGAAGATTCAAAAAGAAGAAAGAATAACAATGACTACAGCTGATGGGATTGACAAGAAAATCCCTCACAAAGGGCTGGGGATGTAAGGCATTCTGGGTGAAGGAAGCAAAACAAAGAAAACCACCTATGTGATGCTGTACCAGGTATACTCCAAAGCAGTGAGGCATGCATAGTTCAGCTGACTCTGAAGCAGTTTGAAAAAGGTTTAAGGTAATTTGGAGACAATACAGTGAAGGATACTGAATGTCAGTGAAGAGTTAGAATATAATTTGGAAGATAACAAGTTGGTACAAGAGGCTTTTGTTGTTTTTAACAGAGTGTTCTTGGCGTAGCAAGAGAGCATATGGGAAACTAGGTGTCTTTACGGACTGGCTGGTGATACTGAGTGCTCACTACAGACAGACACTGTACTAGATGTAGCAATAGTCTGAAGTGAGAGTGTTAGTCACTCAGTTGTGTCCGACTCTTTGTGATCTCATGGACTGCAGCCTGCCAGGCTCCTCTGTCCATGAAATTCACCAGGCTAGAATACTGCAATAGTCTAAGGAGAAGGTTGTGAGGGCAGGTGATTTTGTTACAAAGAAGGAGAGAATGAATTCAAGAGACATGGAGAGAAACTGAGGGTCTTCTTTAGACTGATTAGGTCTGAATATTGAGGAAGAGAATAGAGTCAAGATTGGCTTCAGGGTTCATTGTGCCTCCAAGACTAAGACAACGGTAGTACTACAAACAGGAATGGAGGAGTCAGAAGAAAAGGATGGTTTGTAGGCAGGATGAGGAAAACAAAAGCAAAAAGATTAAGGACTAAAGATTTTCACATTAACTTGTCTAATCCTAGCAGTTGCCTTTTGTGATAGACTTTCATTTTTCTTATTTTACAGATAACGTTCAGATGGATTAAATAACTGCTTTAAGACTATGCTGATAGAATGTGAACCTAGGCTTTCTGATTCTAACCCCACTTAGTATTTTATTACTTTCTGGATAAGTTCCCTTTTAAATGTGTTGAATTTGCCTTGTCAGTTGGACACTGGGCTAGATTCAGGACTGGTGTAAAGGAGAAAAACTTAAGTAATTTTGACAGTGCAGGGGTAGAAGAAATTATCAAGGGAGAGTGTAAAAAGAAAGTAGAAAGTGTCTAAGTACAAAAAATAACTAGAGAGGTGAAGTTATAAGAAAGGAATTGCTAAAAGCATCAAAATCTGCAGAGGTTAAGTGAGTGAAGGCCCCTCATTTCACTGGGTGCCCTCACTCATTCAATAAGACCTGAATGTGTGAGCATCCATAGTGGTGATATGCACATAAACTGAGGTATTCAGTTACACAGAGAGATGCCTACAAATGTTTATTAAGATACAAATGATGTACTCGTCTAGCATATGTAGAATGTATATGATTTTAAATGACTGAAGCTTAATCAAATATATTAAAATGCACTTTAAAATCCTAAACAAGCATTTAATAAACACTGTTAACTTACTTGCTTACTTACACTATATCAAAAACAAATATAAAACAGTATAAAACAAAAAGTCTAAGTTTCTGTAGCTGCCTAAAACAGGGCAGCATGAAATGTTTATAAATAAAAAGATTAATTACTAAGTTATTTTATAGACAAAAGTGAACCTGTTAAGTATCTATAAATTGATATGGAGACTTCAATTACTAATTATTGACTGAATTATGAATTCAGCTACCCCTATACTAGATGATTCATAAGGCATGTTCTGTCTGTCCCCAGGGAACTCACAGAGTCACATATTTTGTTCCGTGGTACCTAGAAGTGATTTCTTTACATTGCAAATGCCCTGTATCTATAACTAAGTTAAAAGCTTCTCAACTACAAGGACAGTATCTTTGATGCTTTGGAGTCCCCATTTGATAAATGTTGTCTGATGTCAATAGATAACTAAATTGGCAATGCATAGGTAAATAATATGATCTGTAATGAAAATGCTATAGTGGCAACAGTCTACTCAACAGGCAAGTCTCTGTAAAGTCGGGACTTTTTTAAACTGAAAAATAAAGCCCTTTAATTTTATAAAAGAAATGAAGCTAAGAAATATTCAGCGATACACAATTAGAAATCTGCAATGCTCTTGTACTATAAAGAAAGGTTTTTTTGATATAAAATTTTATATTTTCTAGTTTATATTTATATAAACTCTATATTTATAGTTCTATTCCAGTACTTTTTATTTAAATGGTAAACCATTGGCTTTAAAAATATTATTAATGATCAGTGTTTAAATAAAGTTACTACTTATGTGCCACATAGAGTAATTTAAAGCATTTGAACGGTTGTTTCTTAATATACATAAAAGATCAGGGCTAAGGTAGTCGTCAAGCTTATAGTACGGTAAAAGTAACCAACAGTCCTTGAAATGCTGCCAACATATATCTGATGGTCCCCTTAAAACGGATCCAGGTTATTCTTATTAAAATCAAGTAAACAATTATTAATGCTTATTAAAAATCCACCAAAGCTATCTAAATTACTATCAGGCTGATGCAGTTACCTAAATGGCTTTTTAGTTATCTTGCTTTTACATATTTTTGTAAAAGCTAATCTACTTGTTTTGTAAAGGGCTTCCTCTGTGGTAAGTTAAAAAGAAAGAACAAAAAAACAACTCATGTAGGTTGAGTGAATACAAATGAATGACTGAAGAATGATGCACACATCCTGCAAGAGACACCACTCAATTCTTATACTGGAAAAATCAAGGCCTCTACTTGTTTACATGGAAAGTGGGATGAGTAACTTTTATATGAAAAGGTACTTTTTCTAAGAACAGTGAAAGCGACAGTTGCTCAGTCTTGTCCGACTCTTTGCGACTCAAGGACTGTGGCCCGTCAGGCTCCTCTGTCCATGGGGTTCTCCAGGTGAGAACACTGGAGTGGGTTGCCTTCCCTTCTCCAGGGGCTCTTCCCCGACCTAGGCATCCAACCCAGGTCTCCTGCATTGTAGGCAGATTCTTTACCATCTGAGCCACCAGGGAAGCCCACCTTTTATGTTTGTACATAAAAAACAAATTATGTGGTTAAACAAACAGTGATAATCACTGGGCAAATGGGTGTACTGATACAAAAGAAAATATTTAAAAATATTCCTTTTCCTGTGGGCAGGGTGTCATACTTTTCCACCAAAGTTCCCCAGGAACCTTCAGTAGCTTTTACTCACAGAGGTGAGTTAGAGCCTCATCTAATAGAATCAGGGGCTTTGCTTAAAGTGTGTGCATGCTTGCTGCAGTGCTAAGTCACTTCGGTCGTGTCCAACTCTTTGCAAAGCCATGGACTGTAGCCTGCCAGGCTCCTCTGTCCATGAAATTCTCCAGGCAAGAATACTGGAGCAGGTTGCCATGCTTTTTTCAAGGGGATCTTTCCTACTCAGGGATCAAACCCATGTCTACCTGCAGCTCCTGCATTGCAGGCAGATACTTTCAGACATGTTTCATTTCTAAAAGTTATTGAAGTTTTGCATTTTAGTCCACAAAATCGGTATTTGTTTCAACACCGACTGTGAGTAAAACCATCCTCGGGGTTGAAATACCAAGTCCATTCTGTAGCTTTAAATGTTTCCTGGTTTCTCTCCACAATTCAAGTTTGCAATATGCTTCTAGAGTTTGAGGGAAATCTTCAGCTCATTCATAGGCTTCCTGATTTTGAGAAAGTGATTGCAGAAACGTGAGTTGTAATTGTGACTCTTTTGTGCCAAGGCTCTTTTTTAGGATCGTTTTTGGGGGCTGGACCCTCTAACTGGGCTTCCCCAGTGGCTCAGCAGGAGACACAGTTTCAATCCCAGTGTCGGGAAAATCCCCTGGAGTAGGAAATGGCAACCCACTCCAGTATTTTTGCCTGGGAAATGCCATGGACAGAAAAACCTGGTGGACTACAGTCCATGGGGTTACAAAGAGTTGGACCAGACTGAGTGACTGTGCACACACACACACACACACACACACACATACACATACTCTCTAGCCGAAGCAACACAACCACTTCCTTGTGTCTACCAGTAGGCCTTGATTCTGAAGTGTAGATGCCTGCTTCCGGCTTCTGTTTTGGGTGGCTGTTCTGTTTTTGTCCAGATGGACTTTTCACCTGAATTCCTAGTTTTTAAGTATCTGCCTTATTTTAAAACTCATAAAGTCTATGTGCACCCTGACTCTAGCTAGTTCTAGATAACTAGTTTGACTCTGATTGTGGACTCCCAGGAAATACACTAGGCAGCATCCTTCAGTGTTTGCAACCTGATGCTGCCAATGCTGCTTTGCTATTCCTTTTCTGCTCTAGCTTCTCAACCAGTAGTCAGAAACCAGGGCTATATTCAGTCCAGAAATAAACAGTATAGACATACATAAAATGAATTCTTGACCATAAACTTTTCTAGATTATATTCTGCTCTTGGGCGAAGGGAAATTGAGTAAAAAGTAAATAATTACTATTAGGATGTTTCCACGTTGGTGCATGGCAACTGTGTAAACAGAGAAATGTATAGGTATAAATTGTTCATTTCCAAGGCAAACCATTCAATATTATGGTAATCCAAGCCTATGCCCCAACCAGTAATGCTGAAGAAGCTGAAGTTGAACGGTTCTATGAAGACCTACAAGACCTTTTAGAACTAAGACCCCAAAAAGATGTCCTTTTCATTATAGAGGACGGGAATGCAAAAGTAGGAAGTCAAGAAACATCTGGAGTAACAGGCAAATTTGGCCTTGGAGTACAGAATGAAGCAAGGCAAAGGCTAATAGAGTTTTGGCAAGAGAACGCACTGGTCATAGCAAACACCCTCTTCCAACAACTCAAGAGAAGACTCTACACATGGACATCACCAGATGGTCAACACCAAAATCAGATTGATTATATTCTTTGCAGCCAAAGATGGAGAA